TGGGAAAAGATAAAGTGTGGGTAAAACTTCTGTTAAAAAATCTCACAGACTGTGGTGGGTGGAGGGAGGGAGTAGAGGAATTAGGAGAGATCCAGTGGGGATCTGAAAATATAAGGTGATAGTGGGCATGGATTAATGGTAATTAAGTTTATAAAACACAATGTATGGGAAAGATTGTATGAAACAACTGTGAATGAAGGAATGTGTGAAATACAATGTATATGAATGAAAAACAAAGTAAGGATGAAAATCTCTCAAGCTGGAAGTTGTTTGAACTTGGAATGACTTAGAGGCCAAAGATGTAAAGAAACAGAATTCTTATTTTGAGAGGATTCTTATTCTGAGAGAATTCTTATTCTTGAGACCAGAGGAATAAATTGGGTGTTTCATGTCTTTTGTGTACATAAATGGGGTGATTGAATTATAGGCTCTGATAATCATTGTCAATAAATCAAGTTATAATTTTAAATTATAAGCCAGGTAAATATTCCTAACAACTAGGTTTTGTGTTTACAGATTTTTATGTTAAGTCTTTACAGCATATATAGGAAGATTAATCTTAAACATAGTTGTTGTTGAGTGCCATTGAGTCAGAACTGACCCATAGCTGACTCTCCAGTGGGTTTTCAGAGGCAGTTTAATCATATGGGAGGAGACTGCCCACTTTTCTCCCATGGAGCACTGGTGGATTTGAACCATGTGCCTTTGAGATTGTAGAACAGCTCCTTACCACTAAGCCACCAGAACAGATTTTGGGGGATTTCTTCATTCCTTCGGGAGAATGTCAAGGAATGAAACTAATTTCTAGTTTTCAGACTAGAATGCTAAAAGCAATACAGACAGTAAATTAGTTGGTTTGTAAAAACATGATTACTGGAAAATGAGAGTTTTCTTCCAGAAAACAAAGACCTGATGGTCAAGCCTATTTGAAATCTTATTACCATATATTTATTTATTAAAAATTTTAGGATGAGAAGTATATTAGTAATAACTTAGAGTTCAGTAGGAGTTCTTCCTTTTGAAACATGTGATATGTGCCTTGAATAGTTTGAATCCATTTTCTCAGCTCTTACCTCTCCTCCTACTGAACAGACATGAAACTAGAACTTTCCCTTCCTGATAAAAGGAACAGTGAAATGTCATTAGTAAATTGATACCTAATAACCAAAGATAGACTTGAAATATAATACACAAGCCTAATTCTTAAATTTTATGGAATATTGTTTTAACTATCTTTTGAATGTCTATGCTGTGTGTACCACTGAGTTGGAATCAACCCATAACTGACCCTCCAGAGGGTTTTCAGAGGCAATAAATTTCCCGAGCTCAGGAGGAGATGGCCCATCTTTCTCTCAGAGTGGCTAGTGAATTCAAAGCCCATATGTTTGAACTGGCAATGCAATTCTCTACCACTGAGCCTACATGTATCACATACACACACACACATTTGGAAGCAGGAGTGGCATCCAATTCCTAAACAACATGCCTCTGGAAACTATGAACTTTGATAAATGTCCATGGTTGTAGAGGGGCTTCAGGCCTTTTGTTCATAGGGTCACTATGAGTTGTGCTCGACTCGAAGGCAGTCACCAACAAGAAGCTACCAGAGCTCATTTGAATCTATTTAGACATTGATTTTTAAGATATTTTAAATAACTGGTTTTTTTTTAATTACTCTTTTTCATTCTTTCTAATATTAGAGCTTCTTCTTTCTTTGGGGACTACTTGTTTTGCTTTTTTTTTCATTTTGAGGCAGCACTCACAGGGATAACTAAGTGTTCGAGATGAGGCTGTGCAGGACAGCTGTTCTCATCTGCCAAGGCTCTTTAAATTGTAGAGACTTTTCAAGTCACGGGATCTTTGAACTTTAGGGACTATTTTGCATAGGAATTCCAATAGAAGTTTAAACCCTGACCCCTACACAAATGTTGATTATGGAAAGAATTCCCTGTAGTATTGTTGTCCGTTTTGGAAGGAAAAAAATTAGGGTATTTTAAAATTGTACAAATAGCAAGAACTTGTAGCCAGCTTACTGGTCCTTTCCTCACTGACTTCAGCAGGTGAATGGAGCTAGTAAACGTTAAGAGTAAAAGAATCACCCAGCCTTAGTATATAGAGATTTAAATAGTCTACATACAACATCAAAAAGTCAAGTAATTTCTTTTTTTTTCTTTTTTTAAATTAATTTTAATGAAAATTTACAGAGATTTTGGATTTCCATTCATTCATTCACTGTTGAACTTTTCTCCCTGCCCAGCCCTCCCCTCCAGGTCATCGTTCTCTTTGAAAAGTAAAATTCTTTGATTGTTATACAATCCCTCCCCCTACAAGTTAAGTTATTTCTTAAGGTTTACCAGGGTGTACAGGTACCTTCTAACCCCCACATACTCTAATTACTGGACTCTGTGAGCTGGCATCAAGACCACAACAAATTGTTTTATCAACTATTTTAAAACGTTTCCAGTGTAGTATGTGTGTTTTTCCAAAGCAAGCCAGATTTTGCTGCCTGATTTTGTACCCCTTGAAGATATTTTATATAGTTGTATTTGTAATAAATGAAAAAGAAACCAAACTGCAAATCCTTTCTTAAAATGTTAAACCATGTATCAAGTTTCTATTGTAAAATGTGTAGGCATAGTTATGTTGAAATATCAAGTTTAAAAAAAATACACACACACACACATTTCTACCACATTTTTCTCCAACAAAGTGACTGGTGGATTCCAACTGCTGACCTCTGAGTTAGTAGCTGAGCACTGTCCCACCAGGATTCCTTTTATTATTTTAATGGGACAATGTTAGTGAAGGGCCATCTTAAATTGATCTCTTTCGAGAGGTCACAGTAGCCAAGCACCAATGAGAGAAGAGAAATGCTGAGCCACATCAGGACAGTGAGGAACAAGGATACTCACAGTTTCTCCCTAGAGTTGTGTCTTAAATTCAGACTTCCAGCTAATTTTGTTAGAGCCATACCTTTGTAGTACTTCTGTTATAGCAGCACTAGGTAACTAATGAATAAGGATAACAGAAGAATTGATGCCTTTGAGCTGTGGTCTTGGAGAAGAGCACTGAATAGTCCATGATCTGCCAAAAGTACAAACAGATGTCTTGGACAAAGTGCAGCCAGGGTGCTCCTTAGAGGCAAGGATGATGAAGCTCTATCTCACATACTTTGGTCATGTTGCCAGGAGAAGACTATTCCTTTGAGAAGGACATCAAGCTTGGAAGTATGAAAGGTTAGTAAAAGAGAGGAAAGGGCTTTAACCCAACAGAGTGACTATAGCAATGGGTTCCAGTGTGTCAGAAATGAGGATGGCATAGGATAGGACAGGGTTCTGATCTGTTGTTCATAGGGTCACTATGAGTCGTAATCAATTTGACGGCACCCAACAAGTAGCTCTGGTGGTCTAGTGGTAAGAAGCTGTGCTGTAATCCCAAAGGCATGTGGTTTGAATACACCAGCTGCTCCGCAGAAGAAAGAGGCAATCTCCTGTGAGATTAACTGCCTCTGAAAACCCAATGGAGGGTCAGCTGTGGGTCAGTTCTGACTTGAAGGTACAGAACTACATGTAACATCAGTAATTTTGAAAAATTTTGAAAAATGAGTGTGGTCTGCACTTTCTGTATCCATCAGGACAAAGGGAATCAGTGTAGACCAACTATAGTCCTAAGTAGTCCCACCTGGCACACCACGCTATTTCCTGTTGCATGACAGAAAGATTACATTGCAAAACCCCATTTGAAGGGATGAGGCAGAAATGCATGAATTCACTCAGTCACGTTTATTAAAGTTTCTTTGTGCTCAGCACTGTCCAAGGCAGTAATATGAGAAAATTACAAAACAAGTTTCAACAAGGGAAAAATATAATTCTGCATCATATAATATGCAATCATTTTTCACGTTGCATTTCTTAGGCTGTTCTGGGGTATGTTGTCTCCCCTTAACTCCATGCCCTCCTAAAGCTTCCAGCACTGTTCAACTGCAGGCCCACTGTGCCATCCCTTAAGATGGTAGGGCAAGAAGGGCTTCTTGTTGGTGGGGCAACCAAGGGCTGCTCAGGGCAGGGCCCATGAGGATGGGGCATGGTGAGAGGGAAAGTGCCAACCTGAGGGCCCCAGTACTCACAGTGAATCACAGGAAGGAAGGCCAGGCATAAAGGGACAGCACAAAGAAGACCTTGGGGTCCTTGGTACTCCCTCCCCCAGAGGGATGTGCTTAAAGTGCTAACTCTGTAAGAAAATGATGCATAGTTGCATGCTGGGTAGACGAGACTTCTCTCCTCACCTCTCTCTTCCCAAACTTGTGCGAATACCAGGCGCTGGGGCCGCTAGGGGCCAGGCTAGTGAGGAATTCTAGTGCCCAGGGGAGATGTTGAGAAGGGCCAGTGTCGAATCTACAATGCCCAGGAGGAGACAGGGCAGAGTGGGCAGAGAAGGGTTAAGAGGATGCAGCAAAAGGGACTAGCTTGTGCTTGGCCAGTGCCCCCAGCAGAGGGGTTGGCGGCTGTGCAAAGAGCAGTTTATTTAATACAGTTAGCGGGACCCTAAATTTTCCCTGAGGGAAGGAAGCTGCATAGCATGAAAAAGAAATCCAAGACATGCAGGGCCCTCCCAGTGCCCCAAAGAGGCTGCTGTGCCCAATGGTCAAGGTGGCAAAGGAAGACAGGGTAGGGCACAGAGCAGGCCCAAGAAACAAGGCCACACACAGATGCTGGGTGACATCCAAAGACACCAGGTCGGGAACTCCAAGTGTCTGGGCAGTCACTCCAGGCTAAGGCTGGCCACATGACAATGAGGTCTGGCTGGCCACCTTGCAAAGGATACAGATGCTCCTGATGACGGTCAGACCTCCGTGAAGGTCACCGTAGGGATGACACAGAGGGCACCTCAGCACAAGTCATCCTGGTGGTGCTGTGATCTCTTCAGCTGACAACAGGGACAGGCAGAGGGTGTCTTGGTGGAAGAGTGGTAGGGTGGTGAGGAGCCAAGACGTCACCCGGGTCTGGCCCTCTGCTCACAGCCAGATCTCATCACTGCTCACACTGGACACTCGGTAGATATAGCCCAGCATCGGGAGACGGATGAAGCCTGTGGGGTTAGAGGAAGCCCAGAGCCTCAATGACTCTCCATTTTGTGGAAGCTGGAAGACCTCTTTCCACCCTTGTGACTTTTTCTGCCCTTGAGGCCTTTGGCACAAGCACACAGCTGAGGAGCAGGCAGCAGCCTTGCCCAGTACCTCGGCTGGTGAGGAGGCCGCCAGCCTCCGGCTCCAGAAGCTCCGGCCGGCTGTTGTTCTGAGCCGCCTGCCGGTCTGCTGGTTTCCCTGCTGAGTAACAATCGGGATAGTGTCTGGGTCAAGGAGAGGGCCTGAAAGCACCTACCCCTTGCAAGTATCAAGCTGTTCTTTTTCAGAAGCAGCTCTGCTATAGCAGCACCAAATGGCAGGCTTCTGAGTGTACCTCTGGCATCCGGGGTGAGGTCGTTGAGCTGTAGGTTGGACGGGAGGGACATGTTCTCCCGTGGCAGGCGCACATTGTTGAGTTTGAGGTTGTTGGAGTCACTGCAGAGCAGACAATGGCTGGGTCATGTCCTTGTACAAGCAGGTACAGCTTTTCTTTTCGGTGTACATTCCAGGCTTTCCTAGGGAGTGGCTTAGGTCTGGCTGAAAACCTTGTAAAGGTTACTCCTCTGGCCTGCATTTCAGTTCTGTCCATCCACAGAGTCTCTGGGACTTACCTCGAGATGAGAGATGGACGCCGGGAGGGGCCTGAGGACAAAAAAACTGTGTCACTGACTTTCGGTGAGCTCACCTACTCTGGCACTGCCCCCTGCTCTTTCTGACCCATGACCTTCAGAAAAGGGTCTCTTCAATGCCTACCTCTGACTCTGGGACCAGAGACAGCATTCCCATCGCTCAACCCTAGAGGCGTGATGTCTCACCCATGCCCATATGACCTACTCTGCCCAGCTCCACTTGCTGCCCTTGAACCCACCCCTTTGTCCTGCTCACATCCTTCGAAGGCCCTTACCCCCAAACCTGAGGTCTTACCTTTGGTCTTCCTCTCTTTCCTGCAGATGAGGCAGGCCACCAAAGTGCTGAATCCCACGAGGGTACCCAGAGCAAGCCCTCCAGCCACAACGATGCCCAGCAGTGGCACTTCTACCCGAGTGGCCAAGAGCCCTGCAGGTCATTCCTTGGTTAGACCCCAAGTGGAGTGCAACCCCAGGATGCCACCAGTACCATGCCCAAGATGGCTACAGGCAAACCCCTCCACTCCCTGCCCATTTCTGTGAAACACGTGAGGCTTGACTATGCCAGCTGTGGGAAGTTCTCACCTGGGGCTGGGAGAGAGGCACTGGTGACACCCACGTCGTTGGTGGCTACCACTGAGAGGTTGTGTGCCAGGCTGCGGAGCTGCAGCTGTACCGTGTGGTTGGTGAGCCATGGGTAGTTCTGGGCATCCAGCACCAGAAAGTCAGAGGTGTTGACAGTCACTGGCCCATCCTGATCGATCCAGGTAACATTGGCAGGAGGGTTGGCACGCACCAGGGCAAAAAGGACAACCAGGAGTCCCGGGCCCTGAGCTTCCTGGTACTTGGCTCCGACCTGGGCAATCTCTGGCTTGACTGGTACAAAGCAGAAAACAAAATGCTTTCATCACAGTGCCCTAAACCACTCCCCTTTGTTCCCAAGTCCAAAAGGGAGCCTTGGGTCTAGGTCTCTCCTCAGAGGGGTGCTGGGAAGCAGGGCAGACAGGTCTGCTGAAGAGTCAGCATTTGCAGAGGCAAGATGTCTGGACTTGAACCGTCACTTTACCAGCTGCACAACCTCAGACAGGTTGCTTATATGTGCCTCAATTTTTCTGTTGTGAATTAGGAATAATACTCCATTGTATTATTACCAGGACTGAAAGAGTTAATATTTGCTTATCTGAAAATACCCAGAGAGTATCTGACACATAGTTATGTGTTCCAGGTTTGTTAAATGTCCTATTGAGCCACTCACTCATGGGCTACTGAAGCGCCTGAGCAGAGAACCATTTCCCCTGACCACTCCAGGAACTCACATTGCACGTTGAGGATGACAGAGGCGTTGGCTGACCGGCCACTGCCCAGGTCCTGCAAGGAACAGTTGAGCTCATGTTGGGCCCGCTGTGCAGTGACAGTGAAGGTGCTGGTGCCTCCAGAGAAGGCCTCCCCGCCCACACTGAGCAGCCTGGAGGTGCTGGCCTCCTGCAGTTGTCCATCCAGGTACCAGGCCAGTCGGGGGACACCAGACCCTCCGGCCACTCGGCAGGTGAAAGCATGGCGTTCATTCTCCCGAAGTGCCCGCTCCGCCCAGGTCTGACCATCAATTTGTGGTGCCAACTCCCCCCAACCTGGAACACAGCAGGGGGGGCCTCTGGGGAAGGCTGGCGATGTGCTGTGACCAACATTAGGTCCCCCTACAGAGGCAGCAGGCCAAGAGACAGAACACTCGGGTTGGACCAGGGGCTACTGGGCCTTGGGAAGGTGCCAGTAGGGGAGACAAGGCTCCAGCGCCTGGTGTTTGGATCGGTCACTCATGGAAATATGGCTCACAGACTAGGAGAGAGGAGAGTGGCCTCTGGACCCCCAAAATGTTTGGTCAAAGGATGAAGAGGGGTGTACCTGAGCTCAGCAGGACAGACAGGAGCAGCAGTGTGTGCGGGTGGGTGGCTGAGCCTGGGAGCATTGCCATGGTGGCTGGGCCTGGGCTCCAGGCTGGTGAGAAAAGGGGCGGGCTTTGGTGTTAGGTAGCGGATCGCTGGCCGACTTCTCCTCCAGGAATTTACTCTCCAGAAACAAATAAAATCATGCACGGAAACACAGACCCAAAGAGACAAGCGAGACACGAACAGAAAAGCCCGATGGTAGGGATCCACTAGCACGCCATTGGACACCCTCAGAACTGCGCAGACGTCCCAGGGGACACACAAGCGCAAACCCCCAGAGATACAGGCACAACGAGCAACCACGCAGCCCGCCCCATGTCCAGACAAAAACACCTTCCCCAAAGGCACTGTCCTTCTGTCGACCCCTGCCTCTCTCCTGTCTCCTCCTATCCTCTCCCGAGACCTAAAGTCTCTCTAGCTGGTTTTTGTGAGGGAGGAGGAGGAAGGGCTCAGAAGCGGAGGAAGCGCCGCATCCCTGGCCCAACCCCGCCCCCGGCATCCAACGCCACTCACCTAGCTCCCTCCCCGAGCTCAGCCTGAGCAACTGCACAGGTCTGACGAGCACCGCAGTCGGCTGCAGCGGCGCGGACTAGGCCAGGCAGGGCCAATCGATGCCCGACCCACGGGACCCAGACGCCCCTCCCCCGGGCAAGAGGGCGGCTCAGTGTTTACACTCGCCCAGCCCGCCCTCCTCATGTACGCTGGGTGCACCTGTGCGCCTTCCACCTGCGAGGCCCGTGCCAAGGACCCTGTGCGTGCGAAAAGCGGCTCACGAAGAGAGCACACAAAGTCTGGTGAGGCGCCAGCAACTTTATTGGTTCGGGTCTGGCCCCCCTCAGCCATGGAGGTCAGCGCCCGTTGCGGGTGCCGCGCAGCTGTCCCATCATGTCGGCCAGCATGCGGTTGCAGAGTGCGGCGTAAGGATTGAGCAGCACCAGTTGGCGCCGCGCAAAAGGGCTTCCAAGCCGCGCGGCCCGCTCGAAGTCCCTGCGGGCGTCGTCGTCTCGGCCCTGCAGACGCGCCAGGAGCCCCCGCTGCACGAAGCCCTGGCGAGCAGCGCGGCCTCGTCCGTCGCTCAGCTCCAGCGCGCGCTCCAGGTCCTCCAGGGCGCCTGCGGGTTGGACGGGGCGGGGTGAGTGCCGTGCTCCCGCCCACCAGCGGGGCGGGAGCCGAGCCCGCACGGGCTTCCGGTCTTCTTATAGTGGCAGCGGCGTGGGGCTTTAACTGCCTGACCGCACATGCGCAAACACCAAGGCTTGTTACTCTCGTTACGTAGATGCAACCTGGAAGCGCTCAGAAACATTGCTCTAGCTTGGGCAGCCAGTTAGCAGCAGAACTGGTTCTTCCTTGCCCCTGTTGTTTCCCCTCTACCTAATAACCCCCCAGAGCTCTGGCGGCCTGATGGTAAGAAGCAGCGCCGCAATCCCAAAGGCAGGCGGTTCAAATCCATTGCTACTCCACGGGCTAAAGATGGGCAGTTTCCTCCCATGAGACTTATTGCCTCTTAAAACCCTTTGCTGGAAGGTCAGCTATGTTATTGGCAAACAACAACAACAATAACCTTTGGCAACTCTGGTAGTCTAGTTGGGTACTCAAAGGCAGGCGGTTCTAGATGGGTAATATCCTGTGTGATTTGCAGTCTCTGAAAACCCGCTGGAGAGTAAACTAAAAGTAGTTCAGAGTCCAGGGCATATTAACAACAGTAACCATAGGGAGCGAAGGAGTCCTGGTAGTAACCGAAAACCGAGAGGTTAGCGCTCCGTGAGAATGATGACCTGTCTCCTCTTAACAAAGACTTACTGTGTATCATCGAGTTGGAACCGACCCATAGCTGACCCTCCAGCAGGTTTTCAGAGGTGTTAAATCACAGTGGAGATTGCCCATTGTTGTAGTAGCCGGTGGAATCCACCGCCTTTGAGTTGGCAGTCCAAGTCCCTACTGACAGGCCACCAGAGCTCCCTACCGCACCTCCCCAAAGATTACATCTAGAAAACCCCAAGGGGCAAGTTAGTAGTCCTTTAGGACTACTGAGAGTCAGCAGTGGAGTTTAATCTTTTGAGTTTCAATAGACCTGTGGACTCAGACTTCCTGCACATGTCCCCTCCGAACCCACAACCACTGCATCTCCAGTTTGTGCTTTTTTTTTTAGGTTTTTGTTTTGTTTTGTTTGTGCTTTTTGCAGAAACTTCGAGGTGTTTCCTCCTTACCTGCCACATCTCCCTGGAGTCTCCGGGCCTGAGCGCGATTGTTGTAGGCAGAGGCCCTCTCAGGCAGCAGGCAGATGGCTTGCCCAAACCTCTCCAGGGCGGTGCTGAGGTCCCCAGCTTCTGCTGCTTTTACCCCCTGGAGCTCCAGGGCCTTGGACTGCTCCAGCTGTTCTTGAGGGAAAATTCCATCTGTGCCAGGAAGTGATCCAGGAAGGGACAGATTTGAAGTTAGGAGTAAGAAGCAAAAGTCACCTTGGTGTTCACATGCAGTGTTTGAGGCACAGGGAGAGTAGGTCATCAGGGGTGGGTGTAGCATTGCCATAGTGCAAAAGGGATCTGGGAAAGGGACCTCAATTGGCTCCCTGTTGTTGTCTAGAGAACAAATTCCAAACTCTGTGCCTATGTTCCAGGTGCACTTTCCATCCACATCTGTAGCTCCCTCCCTGAACCCTCACCCCCATTCCATCTTATTCCAGCCAGAAATTTCATCTACTCATTTCACAGGCACAGACATGTGCCTTCCCACCACTAACTTCACCTGTTGTGCTTTTCTCCCTTCTCTCCCTTGGTTAAATACTTATTTTCCTCTGAACCACGTTTTCTCAATTCCCAACTCTGCAGTGATGACAGTTTATCATCTGCACTTTCTCTCAGCCACCTTGCCAGCCAGTTGGCCATCTTCCTATGTTGCTGGAGGCGTGTTCTGGCCTATTCCTCAAGAGAAGTTCATACCACGTATCACCTCATTTCTGGCACCTAGTATAGTAAGGCTACAATATTTACTGATCTAATAGCAAAAAGAGGGCTAAGTAGAATTTAAACTTTTAAGAGGTGAGCGACAGCTGCTCATGGAGACAGCCTTGCCTTTCGTTCCCTCTTCCTCCTTTTTCTTGTTGTTCCTTAGATATACTGCTTCCTCTGCCAGAAGAACTGGATGATGCCTAGCTACCATTACTAAACATTTTGATCAAAGATTCTATAGAATAAGCCCTTGATCAAAAGGTATTTCAGATCAGAATTTCTAATTTTCGTGGAACCCTGACTTTGTAGAGGATGAATGAGCCCCTGAAATGACTGCTTTGAGATACTTTTTCAATCTTAACCAACAATATCCGATGAAGTGTTTTTTAGCCAGACAAACCCCCACAGATCTCAAGCTGACCCCGACTCTGACCCTAGAGGACAGAGGTCTTTTGGGAATTACAGCATTTCCAAGGCTGTGAATGTTTACACAAGTGGACTGCCACATATTTCTCTTATGGCTGGTGGATCCAAACAGATCTTTTAGTTAGCAACCAAGCTCTTTAACCACTGATCTAATAGCACCACTAGGGCTCCTCATCCAAACAAGAATTTCACTTAATTAGCAAAGAATCCCTTAAACATTGTTCTCTGTGTGGGGTCAGACTAACAGCAGCAAATATGAAAGGTTTGATTAGGGAGTAATTGGAAATTACAGAATTAGTTTGTTTTGCTGTCAATATTTTCAACAAGATATTTTAAAATAAAAAAAGCTCATAAAGAGTTGTATTTAGTATTCTCCACTCTACAATTCAACAATGTTAATTATAAAAAAATAAATATGCTGATTTTGCTTGCTTAGGTTGGAAGCCACTCAACTCCATGCCCCTTTAGTCTTCCAATCTGTTAGGACAGTGACCTGGAGTTTAACATACCCTTCCTATCCAACACACAATGCTAAACTTGAATCTCAGATGAGGTAATTTCAGAAATGTGGGTGCTGAAGGACGAGACAAAATCTGATAACCTTCTAAAATCAACCCCCTCCCCATCTGGGGGAGGCCAGAGAGCTAGCCTATGGGGATAGGCACTCTGCAAGGTCAAATGCTCACCTTCATCTACTTCCTCTCCCAGGTCTAACCCAGTAACATCTCCAAATGGGGTGTCTGGGTTGAAGATGGCTTGCAACACTGCCTGATCATTTGGAGTTCCCATGGTGCTCAACTCCCAGATCCGAAAAGGTTTGGATGAGTGCAACACTGGACCACCAGCAGCGGATAATGAATGAAGTTCCAGGTTCCCTTGACTATTCCCAGTGAGGAGTGGTGTTAAGTGCAACCCTTCTGCCTGGGGTTAGTGGCCCAGGCTGGGTGTTTGCAGATATTTCTCAACTGCAACCCCTACCCGGGTCAGGTCACAAATCCAGGACTGGTCTTAAGGTGGAGCAGAGAGGACACTTGATATTCTCCCTGCAATGCTTTCATCACAGTCACAGATTAGGTGAAAATTTAGAAGCCACAGCTTGACCACAGGAGGATAAAGGTGAGAAGGCTACACTGACAGAACCATTCCTTTGTCCTCCAGGCCTTTTCATGTCTACAATTAACACAAAGTCAGTTCTGAGGGGAGTTGGGACCCTCTTATCACTGACCCTCCAGAGGGCTTCTGAGCTGTCAATTGCCCACTTTCCTCTTGAGGAGTTGCTCATGGATTAGAACTACCAGAATGCGGTGCCTCTGGGTCAATAGCACCTAACCTCTTACTGACCACCAAAGCTCACGCCAGAATGAATTAGATCCTGAGTCTACATTACTAATAAGGGAGACAATATGTTTAAGGAAGTCAGCATGAAATGGAACCTGAGGAAGGGCAAGGAAATGATCACTCGCTCCACCTTAAAAGACTGTGGAGGGTCAGGCCAAAGCCACCCCTCTCCAGGATCCACCCGCCCAAAGGCAAAAGAAAGCTCAACCATCTGCAGCAATAAACTTGACATGTTTATTAATTAAACTATCACTTAAATAAAAAAAAGTGCATAGAAAATAAACATGTTTAAAAACTCCTTTTTTTTTACAACTATGTACACTTTTTACTTTTACATTCAGTCTTTCGTAGAGAGCTTTCAGCATTATTATTTTTTGAACTATTAAAGTATTTTCCTTCATCCCTGTCACAGGGAGTTAACACTGATGGACTTTAGACATGGTTTCCTTTTTTTTTTCCTCTTTCTCTTTAACCAGAAGCTTGGAAGAACACAAGGAAAAAAAAAAAAGAAAACAAAAGATCTATTATACGTGATAAAGTTGTCAAGAAATGTCTTATTTCTAGAAAAGAAGCTTGTCATCTGCTGAGTTCTTGAAACAATTATTCAACTACCTGTATTTATTAAAGAGACTGTTTAAAAGTTCAATAAAAGAAACACCACAAGTCTATTTTCTTGGTTGAAAGACAGAACTAGAGTACCTCAGAACAAGATACCAGGAAAGCACAGAACACAATTTTCCCCTAAATGCAGGTGGTAACCCCAACATTCATAACCAAAAAGAGAAACAAGGAGTACAGGTACTGACTGGCAACATTCATGGGCAGAAAAAAAAATCCAGGTGACACCATTTTCGCATTTCTCTCTGATCCGAAGAATGGGCTGTCTTCCCATCTTGTAAGGTTTGGTTTTCTCGGATGGGGAATCAGAGGAATGCCAGGCTGACATTTTCCTGCCTCCGCTAGCAACTGTAACACAATCCTTATCTATAGTGTTAAGAGAATTAAAAGCCATGGACTGAGCTAGGCTTTGTTACATGGTGCATTACTATATTAATTCCTATATATATCATATTTATATTTATTTGAAAACCAAAATGAACAAAAAAAGTCGCAAGTTTTCAGAGTGTGACACTTGACTGGTATTCATGATTCAGAACAAAACCATTTGCTCAATAACCTTGTATTGCTTTTAAACGAAGGAAATTCAGCATAAAGTTACATCCAGCCCTTTGCAATGACTCACTTTTCTTTTATAATAACAAAGAAACAAACCTGATTTCTATTTTTTTAACAAAAAATCCCAAATCAAACTTAAAAGTTAACATTGGACAAGGTTTTGACCTTTAGTATTTTCAGATATTTGATTGAAGTCAGTCCTTTAAAAAGATACATTCATTAAAAGATTTTTATTTTTTGTTGTTGTATTTTTAAGTTTTTATTCTTTTTTTAAATTTTTTTTTTTTTTAAATCAAGAGAGCTGCATGGTGCTCACTGCATTGGCCGGGGGGTTGACTGAGGCAAGCGAGGTGGTGGACTGGATCCTGGCAAAGGAGTATGGTTGAAAACTTATAGCTGCCAAGGCTTCCCCCTTAAATCTTGTTACTGGTCTAAAACTAGGAGGGGCTGTGCTGGAGGTGGTAGACCATAACAGAGGGAGCCAAGGGACCAAGTTCCGGCCACAGGTTCAGCGCCACGCAGCTATTATAGTTACAGTTTTCACTGGCCACCAGGAAATGCAGCCACAATAGGTTCTAGCAGCAAAGCTAAAAGTGAGCTGGCTCTCTCACTGAGAACTGACCAGGTTTGCAGCTGTTACTCCTTAGGGATGATGCCCCTTGGGGGAGTGTTGGGAATGACCCACCATAATTCCTCAGTCTGCACAACTGTGCAGAAATTCCCTTGGTCACTTTCAAAACAAACTCAGAGGTGTTTTGGAGATAGCTATGCCATTTTGCCTTCTCTCCCTCTGGTAGAGAACTTTGGCTTTTTCCCCAAGTTGCTGGCAGGTATGCTGAAGTTTGGCAATGGACTCAAGGCTGAGCTACAGAGGAATTTCTCATTTTTGTGGTTGACGACTAGGGTGTAGAAAGGCAAGGCAAACCATCTGCAGCTGGCAGGAGAAGGAAGGAGGTGGGTTCCTCCCCTGTCTTCAGGGTCTGGGACTGGTAGAAAGAGAATGAGGAAGGGGGTCACAGTACAGCGGCCTAGCAGGGCAGTAACTAGGTCTAGTTAGCTGAGTTCCCCCCACCCCCTAACTGGCCTTTGGGTCTTTCTCAACGTGAATTCATGACCCATCAGTGCATTAATCATTTCAGTAACAAATGCAGCTTAAGTATTTTTTCCTTAAAAAAAAAAAAAAAAGATAAAAGGATTTACAAAACAACCTCACACAGTGCAATAATAAAGGAAGCAAGACACTAGTGGGCCCCTAGGGCCACTGTACCTTGTTCTCGGGCAAAGGGAGGAAGGGAGGTGAGGTCTGGGTTGAGTGCTTTCCCCAGCCCCCTGCTGGCACTTCTCCACGATGACAAAGAAGTTTCTGCCATCCTGGCCACAGTGCTAGGCTCCCTGCACGACAGTGAAAACAGTGACAATGTTCCAGCAAAGCCACCAGACAAAGGTCTTAAGGTCCTGGAAGAGAAGGGAGCCCAGGATGGAAGGCACAGCAGAGCCACGAGTCCTGGGACAGAGTGTGCTGGGCTGAGTCGTATTGCTTTGCTAGACTTCCATAGGAATGGGCTTCTTGTGGCGAGAAAAGGGTGCCCCACCCTCTACTGGACTATACTCCTCTGAAACCTTGTGGCGGAGGCTGAGAAAAACCTGCTTTATCGTGAGTGGTCAGACTGTGCTTCAGTTTCAACAGGCTGCCCCAAAGAGGGCAAGAAGAGATCAATGGGTCTCTGCAGGTAGGAGGACATGGTGGGCAGAGGAAAAGGGAGCGGAGTGACCTGTGAGGCAGATGGTGATGGAAAATGTCAAGTTGCCATTCAACTTGTTGGCTGCTAACTCGGAAGGAGGAAAGATCAGGGAAATGCAGAAAAGTACCGCCACTCACCACTCCAGAGCTAGAGCCAAAAGGAGAGAGAAATGTGGGAAAGACAAAGAGAAACTGTATCAGATACTACCATAGTCTTGAGGAGCTTCAATAGGGGAAGGAGGGAAGTAGCCCAATGGAGCTGGGTGACCTCCTTCTCCATTTATTATTGAAAAGCAAACCCAGGTAATGGTTACTTAGGTCAACAGGGCACAAACAAGCTACACATTAGACAACAAAAGGTACACCTTCCAGGGGGAAGCTGGGCAGGAAAACCAGACTTTGTGTGTACAGCTGAATATTTTCTCTAACTTCATCCTATGAAAATAAAAAATTATTAAAAACCGATCTTCTTTTAAATTAGGATAATACCGCGGTTTAAAAAATAGCCTTGTCATAAGTGCTTCTCCCTATGAAGTGCTTCTCATAGAAAAATATACAAAATATATTTACATTTATAAAACCTTAAATAGTAAACTGTAAACAGAACAGAGTAAAATCCAATGACTTAATTTAACAGGTTCAGGATACTGTCTTGGGGGAAGGAGAAGAAACATTTGATGTTGTTTTGACCACATCCTAAGGAGTAATCAGGGCAGTAGTGTCATTTAATTTGCTGTATCCATGGATGTCACACACGTGGCAGAGTTTCCTCAACACAAGGTAGTCTAGTCCCCAAGTTTTGGGCCTTGAAATCGGATTAGTGTTCTGCCTTCAACTGGACAATGACCTTTTAAAAAAAGTTAAGTCTTCCTATGTCTGAACAAAGGGGAAATCAAAGTATGTGGGTTCTAGGGATGGGGTCCACAGGTCATCCTGGTTGAGACTCTGGCTGTTGCATGATTCAAATCTTAGTTAAATAATCATTTTTCCTCTTCTAGAAAATCATGCTACATATATTTCTTTAAAACTCCCAGTGGAGCTTTATTGAAAATGTCTTCAAATTCTGTCTGGTTATGTCCAATGGCTCCTGTCCAAGTCCTCTCCTGGAGTGTTACAGGCTCATGGAACTGTCCACAGGCATGTGCATGCCAACAGGGAGTATCCGTGAGCAGGGAGGCAATCTCCTCTATCACCCAGAAAGAAGAATGGGAAAGCAATGGGATGGAAGATAGGGGAAATGAAGAGAGTGGAGTGAAAAAGAAGGGATGAGAGAAGGAAGCCGCTCCTACTGTCAAGAAAGGTAATTGGCTGAGATAAGGCTCATGGGGATAAAACTCCCACTTACAGCCCACAGGCTCAATGTTTGGTAATAAATTGGCACAACCCCAAGACAGCCTTTTGTCACCAAAGGTGCTAGGAATCCTGTCTTCCAACCAGAAGGGAATTAAGTGGGAGGATACTAGAGAAATCCACCAGATCGTCTCTGTTTGTTCAACAGATGGCTACAGACTGGGCCTGGCTGGCAAATAATCAG